TCACAATGAGGAGTAACAAAGAACCTGCCTTCTTCCAAAACTATAATTAACCCGTCAGGTGTTAGCAGACTATCTCCTCCCTCCCTTTTTATCTAGCCCAGTATTTTCAGATTTGCTCAGCAACTAGACTGTGCTGAAAACCAAAACTGCCTTCCAAGAGAACTTTTGCAAACATATGAAGGGTTTTTCATTATGATTTGGAACAAACTGTAAAATTACTGAAACTCATCGTGGCACAATGCTTAGCTTCCAGTTGACTTGACGTGGACCTGTGCTGGCTGAGCATGACCCTCGTCTGCCTGAGAGCACGTGTGAAAGCTCTGCGAGACCAATGTCATGGTCCTGATGCATGCTACCCTAAGCAAAACACCAGCCTCTCTTATTGTGTGTTTTCTCCCTCCATCTGGCCGCCCTGTTTTCTAGCATTTGTGGCTCAGTGTCTCCAAGCTCGAAAATCCTCACGCAGCCACCCCCCTAAATCATGGAGGCATGCATAATGACTTGCACGTGAAACCACGGAAAGGCGCCACATACCGCAATCAGTCTAAATTCCTGTCCTGAATACTTGAAAAAGATGAGAGTTAATAGAGGTTTTCCTCTTCAAAACAGCCCTTTTTCTCTCCAAGATTACTTGCCCACTAGGGCCTAAGGAAATACAAGAGCATTAGTTAAAAGAACTGCTCCAAAAATAGAAAACAAAAGAAACAGATGAGTCTTTTGAAAGCTAATGCCAAACTTACCTAATAATGCAAACATCTGGAGTAGACAAACACATTTTAGAACCAGAGGCTAACTACTGCAATATTTTCCTGCCATAAAAGCTCAAGACACACTATCAAGTTACTTAAAAAACGTGAGGTAAAAATGTGTCAGCTCAAACTTGAGGATTTACCTCGCGCGTTTTCTCTCACGCTTGAGGAGGACCACCAGCGCTCATATAGTCAGTCGGTCACTGCAATTCAGCTGACACGGGGTAACTCCAGCTGCAGTATCCTGATCGCACATCTCCGCCCGGGGAAGAAATTCCTCCACGCACTCTTCTGCTGACGTGGAAGAGCAGCTCCTTCTGCCCTTCATTTCCAACCGAAAAGCAGGAGAACCACAGGCCGGCAGGCTCCCTCACCATCAGCACAGCAGCCTGTGGCCTCCTGGCTGAAACCGCAGGTCCCAGAACCTAAAATGAGCCCTAAGTGCAAATGCGGATGTGCATTTGAGGCCAGGCCGAGCCATAACACACAAGTCAAATCTGACATGAACCATCGCTGTGGTTCGGTCATTAGATACGTGTCTGCAGTTTACTCTCTCAGCAAGAGAAGAGGTAGATGGCCCCTACGGTAGATTATTTTTACAATTCCAACCCCAAGTCCCAAAAGAAACGACAGCGGAGCGGTAGAGAGTTTAAACCTGTGCTTAGCATATTTGCCATGTAAATAGCCCCCATAATGCTTAGGTTCCCATTAGGCACTGCCTAGAGCTATGCTGGGACCTGTGCAGCAACAAAGCAGGAGGCCGTTCTTATCCATAAGAAACAGGAGAGAAGTCCCTTTTGCACATGAGGAACTGGGGCAGAGAGAAGTCAGGGAGCTCCCTGCCATCATGTAAGGAAGTCTGTAGCACAACCAAGAGCTCCTGGAGCAGGAGGTCTTGTGCCTTAACCACAAAACCACCCTTCCTTTCTGAAATCACAAGTCAAGATTAGACAATCACATGCGGCAGCATTTCACAGATACTGACTTCATGAGAGAGATCGGTGTCTTTGCCTTCCACTCAGTTCAAACCCATATTTGGGGCAGAATTCTGGGCACAGAAAATAGACATTCAGGATTTTCAGACTGCACAGAAACTCCCTCAGGACTGACATACGTCACCCGCTTAAGATTTACCATTTCCTGGCAGCCTAACCTTTTCCAGCACCTTTGTCTCTGAGCGCAGAGCTAGGCCGATCATTTCTGGCTTGAGAATCAACTGTTGTGACAATAACAGAAAAATCTACTCAACGGGATGAAGAGATCTATATGAATTAGCAATGAAAAACAGCATGTTTACAACTGATACATTTGCTGGTTAAACTGCAGTGCAGAACAATAAGTATTTACTAGAAAGAATAGCAAGACACTGCTATCTGGGGTCACGAGAAGCAATGTGAATATAATTGAGCCTCTTTTCTGTGCAGAACAGAAGTGAAGGACGAAGAAAGTCTCCGTAGTCTACACAGACTCCACAGTCACTCAGAGGTTTACACCCTCATTCTGGAAACATATCCCCAGCTCCTCTCACAAGCTCTAAAAGTAGCTAAATGCATGAAAGGGTGGAAGAACCCACACCCTGGAACCAGTTTTAATTTGCTGCTCTTACTAATAGCATGACCACCACTGGTCCCACAGTAAGAAACGATTATTTCCATCAATACTGAGAAGCTTCATACATAGGTGGGATAAAAAAATCCCTTGGAGATGGGTTACAGGATAGGACTACTCTCCCCTGAACATACTTTTCTCCCATTTTTTTTTTTTTGGGTTCACTTGGAAGCACAAAGGGCTCATACTTTCCTTCAGCATCTAATGATGCAGAGTCATCAAAACCAAGCAATAATAGTGTAGAAAGAACAAAGCCCCATGGAAAGTGGGGCGAGGGTTTTCACACCCTGAACGCTACCTCCTAAAAATAAAAGGCATGCAAGTTGTATTTCAGTATATCTTAATCTGCTACAGATTATCAGTTTTACCAAGTGTGACTTTAGTCTGTGAGGTTTGTGCCTATAGTCTACAATGCATCAGATTTTTCAGCTAGTTTAAAACTAATTTAGGGTCACTGAAAAGAGTGTGAAAGGCATATATACTGTTTACTTCTCAGCTTCATGTGGCCTAAGTCCCTACAAGGAATTGGGTGAAGGCATTGGGAGCATTCATGCCATAAGTTAATTTAAAAGCTAACAGGAAAACAGGGCACTGTGACTAGTCTACAAATATGACTATTTATCTTCAGGGACTTCAAGCTCTACTGATGGAACACTCAAGGCAGAAAACAATTACGGGATTTTCTGTATGTCCATTGTGATTGGTAGATCTACTAGCCTTTGGCTAAGCCTGCATTCCTTACAGCCAAGCACCCAGGCAACAGAGAAGCTGACGTTAAATTATGACCTTTTATTTCTTATCACAGAGACCACTAATATGAAAACAACTGGGTTGCCCGACGAGCAGCAT